GAAATATGTGTAAATAATGTTTAAATAAAGGAAAATGAAGCAGCACAAAAGCTGTTAGTGTAAAAAAACCTTGGCCTTGAGCTACATACGCAAGACTAACTTTAATCTATTCAAAGGGTCATAGATCAACATGCAACCAACTCCTGTGGGCGCTTGAAGGAACATTTTACAATATTTTACTTGACCCACTCCCGTTTATAAAGTCTCTGGAAGTCTTAAAAGAAGCATAAAACCTACACTGTGATTTCTCAGAAAGTATGACAAAGATATGAGAAAGCTGAAGTGAAGTGATAAGGTGCAGTGACCCATTTACAGTGTGAAAGGAGCGAAGAGATGAAAGAAGCAGTTTAAAGAGCAGTTCGAACATCTCCTCCATTGACGTCCATAATAAGAAAAAGTAGGGAAAAGATTTACGAAGAAATAAGAAAGATAGAAAAGTTACAGCTATAAAAAAAAGGGATGAATATTTTAAGTTTCCAGTTATAAGTCCTGACAAGAAGTGTCGACTAATGAAGGTAAAATAACAAGTAACAAGACATTTTTTTGTGTCTCTACTTTAAAGAGTCCTCTCCTGCTGATGTTCAGGTGTATATCAGTATGCAGTGTCTCTACTTTAAAGAGTCCTCTCCTGCTGATGTTCAGGTGTATATCAGTATGTAGTGTCTCTACTTTAAAGAGTCCTCTCCTGCTGATGTTCAGGTGTATATCAGTATGCAGTGTCTCTACTTTAAAGAGTCCTCTCCTGCTGATGTTCAGGTGTATATCAGTATGTAGTGTCTCTACTTTAAAGAGTCCTCTCCTGCTGATGTTCAGGTGTATATCAGTATGTAGTGTCTCTACTTTAAAGAGTCCTCTCCTGCTGATGTTCAGGTGTATATCGGTATGTAATGTCTCTACTTTAAAGAATCCTCTCCTGCTGATGTTCAGGTGTATATCAGTATGTAGTGTCTCTACTTTAAAGAGTCCTCTCCTGCTGATGTTCAGGTGTATATCAGTATGTAGTGTCTCTACTTTAAAGAGTCCTCTCCTGCTGATGTTCAGGTGTATATCAGTATGTAGTGTCTCTACTTTAAAGAGTCCTCTCCTGCTGATGTTCAGGTGTATATCAGTATGTAGTGTCTCTACTTTAAATAAATACTTTTTTTCTATTTGTCTAAATATTTCAAATAGACATATTCCTACTCAATAATGGATCTGTTTTCCTACTGTAACCGACCTCTTCTCCTTAGCGTATTGACGTCTTTTAGATTGTAGCTTTTAATGGTGTGTGAGCTGTGCTGTGTGATGTTTTTGTATGTTTTTAGTTTGTGATTTGACTGTGCAGCACTTTGGTCTGGAGGTTTTAAAGTGCTATATACATAAAGCTGTATTGTATTGTATTGTATAGTGTGTCATCAATACATCTTAAAGCATTTGCACGAACAACCATTAACTATGTGAACATTAAACAAGATCTCTACTTTTTTCTCAATTACTGCAACATTTAGGTTAAAATGTAAGTGAAAAGTGATGTTTTTTCTTATGCCTGCTCAATATAAGACCTTAATGCAAGTAGCAGGGTGGGTTGCTTTTATTCCCTTGGTGTGTGCGTGCGTTTTGGAGCCGGTTTGTCCTTGGCAGAGCACTCAGAGTGAGTCTGATACGGTGTGGCACACCTGACACGTTGCTCCACAAACTCTAGATTTCACAGATTACTTTGCAGCTTTGTTTCCTCCGCCTCCGAGCTGGATCTCATTTGAACCTGAAACTCAAGATCTACAGAAGTCAACAACGCTCTTATGTTTTAAAGTCTATAATCTAATGATTAAAGCTGCAGTCCTGCTTCCTTCAGACACTCTTTAATATAACAGATAATATGTAATATTCTGTCACATACTTATGTATATATAATACCTTATTTTATATCTTCTTATTATTAATTTGTAAATTCAACATGTATATTTTCTACTTTCTTGTTTATTTATTTTCTTTACATTTGTATTGTACAATGCCATGTCTTTTTATGCTGCTGCAACACAAACATTTCCCACATTGGGATCAATAAAGTACTTCGGATCTTATCGTATCTTATCTTTGACCTGTTGATTCAAGTGGAAAGTGTTTATACTGTCAGCCTGTACTTTATAAGAATCTGATGACCAGCATGCAACATTATTTTGTGTGAAGATAACTAATTTGATGACTATAATACAAGACTAACAAACACCACAGTGGATTGCTTAAATATAAGTCTCATAGAGCCAGATAAAGTATCTCCACAGCGCTTTCTCTGTGGTTTCATGCTAAAGAAAGGTCAAGAAAACACATATTATCATTCTGTTATAAAGACAAAAGGCTTTACACTGAAGAGTCTTTGGAGGCTTGAAGCAAAGACTGCATCACATATAATATTTGCAGAGAGAAAGGTGAATACTGTTATCAAAATGGCCAAGCACAAAATAGAAAGCCCTAGAAAAACAAAATGGAAAAGACACATGTAAACTGTTTGATACAACATAATTTACTCATTTGCCTCCCAGAGTTGAAGCCTGATTATCTGCTAGTGCTTTTTTATAACCAATATCACAGAAACTAGTGTGAAGAGAGATGGATCCTTAGTGAAAATAAACGACTTGATGAGAAGATCAATAACACTCCTATGTCTTTAAATCAATGTGAGGCTAATGCCATTTAGCTTAGCATGTATGTAGACAAAGGGTGCGTCTCACTTCGGTTATTTTTCATTTCCTCGCTCCTCGGGCTCGGTATCACCGGAAGTTGATTTGTCTGCGCCATCTTGAGTAGTGTCCCTGTGGCCTTATTTTTGCCGGAGGACCGAGGATTGAGGATCGAGGATCGAGGATCGAGGATCGAGGATCGAGGAGTGATAACGGAGGAGCGATAATCGAGGAACTACCAGACCATCCTCCGATGAAATCCTCAGACACTCGCCCCGCCCCCTTACTGTGTATCGCTCACTGATTGGACGATGCAGCGCATGCACTGATCTGGCTGCTGTCAGACGATCAGCTGTGTCATCACAAACGGACGTCGCTTCACGTGACGCTCCGGAGGAAACAACGTCCCATTGCTCTTAAAACTCATTTCCCTGCTTCTCGTGGTTTCCTTGCGTCTCTCCATGCTGCCCTGGTGGGAGGGACTAGTCGCAGGGAAACAACGCAAGTGAGGGACGCAAGGAATCCATTTAACCGAAGTGAGATGCAGCTATATAAGACATATTGTACCGTAGCATTTTCCTAATTTTAGTCCTCCTTAATCCATTGAAACATTGTTATCTACACTCTTTAACTGTGATATATTCCCTGTATTGTTGTATTTTGATTGTATTGTTGTATTGCAGGAAGACTCTTTTCAAATAAATAGAAGTTACATGATGTAGCATAATTTCATAAAAGGTCTAGTTCATAGAAACAACAAATACAGATGGTTTTAAGGTAACTGTTGGCAGGAAATAGAAAAAGGAGTTATGGGCTTTTGTGTCACATTGATCTCCTCCCTCTTACTTTCCATCATACCTTTTAAATATCACTGGCATTTATTTAGTTTTAAGCTCTTTTTTAGAATAACCAATGTAGACTTTTCTTCCAGTCTAGGTTTTACCTCATGCAAACTAGGTCTCAAATTCAGGATACTCATTCAGGATACTCATGCCTGTACTTCCACTCCACCTTGAGTATGTCAATGTGTTTATGACGGATAGCGAGTCCCCAGAGTCTTCACTAAATTGTACATTTAAATCCTGCCCTAGTTGAAACATACAGTTTACCCAATAGTGCTGTCTAACCTGTGTGGATTACAAACATGTGCAAACGCTGACAGCTTGTTCGTACTCACAAACACATACTCCCCAAAAGCATGGATTTTTTTTTACTGACATTTGAATTAATGAGATGCTTTCTATGCCAGCTACTCTGAAACACACTTCTGGGAGACATGCGATGACAAAGAGCGCTGAGAAGAAGATGAATGACAACGGACTCCCAAACCACCGAACGATTTCTCACTCAAAGACCTGCGAGGGTCCAGGTGGAGACGGGAATATAAAGTGATTTAATAGCAGCTAAAAACTGCAGGGGGGTGAAGAACTCAATGAGAGGTGTAATGTGTGTACTGTGTATGCAGGATTTGTGATGCTCTCTTCTACCAGATATTTTAAATGTAAGCTGACTTGAGCAACACAACATCGTACATGTGTCTTAATAGCATTTAATAGATGGAGAAAAATATTATTTAAGAGGTTGTGTTGTATCTTTATCTTGTAGGGTCTTTGAAATCCCTTTTCTGTCTTTATTATGCTTCTTTGTACTTCTACTCAATTCAGAGGTAAATGGTGTACTTTTCCTCCACTACATGTATGTAATACCTTTAGTTACTTCACAAATGTGGATGAATGATGTGAAATATAATCAAGTGTTAAATCAGACTTTAGTTCCACCTGGAGTAAATCCACAAGCTACCCTGCAGTATACAAAGTCATTCAAACTAGCTGCACCTTTACCAGCTTTGAGAACACTTTCATGATCAATCATTATAAAACATATCATATATATTATTCTGAAATGGACCAATCTGCACAATGACTACTTTTACTGTCGCTACTTTCACTATATTTTGATGAGAATACTTTTCTACTTTCACTTGAGGAACATTTTGAATGCAGGACTTTTACTGTAACAGAGTATTCCTACACTCTGGTACTTTTACTCAAGTACAAGATCTGAATACTTCTGCTTTTACTCAAGTACAAGATCTGAGTACTTCTACTTTTACTCAAGTACAAGATCTGAGTACTTCTACTTTTACTCAAGTACAATATCTGAGTTCTTCTACTTTTACTCAAGTACAAGATCTGAGTACTTTTACCACCTGTGAGGAAATGGAATCAGAGCGCCCTGACTTCCTGTACACATGCATACACAGTAAACACACATGAGTTTATGTCCTTCAGTAGAAAAGCAGCAGCACTCTGAAAGAAAGTCGTGATGGATGAGTTGTGTTACCTCGTGCATCTGCAGGTTGGCGTTAGGGGCCCTCGGCTTGGCGTCCAGTGCATTATGGGAGTTATGGGAGTTAGCGGTGTAGTTCTTCAGACTGCGACTCTCCTTCAGGTGAGCCTGGAGCTTCTCTCTGCGCCTCCTGAAGAGAAGGAGGAAGAAAGGAGAAAGAAAGGAAATCAGGAGAGCTCAACCACCGTCAGTGCATTCACTCAAGAGCTGTACTCACGTTGGAGTTTGAGTTACTTTAATTGTATTTAACTATTTCCATTTAATGCTATCTTTTAATTCTCCTCCACTTCATATCATGGGTAGATATTTTATACATCTACCGCACATTTGTCTCACAGCTTTAGTTACTTTTCAGATTAAGAGTTTGCATTAAAACAACATCGCAAACTTAGATTATCCACTGCATTACAAAAAAGTAAAAAATAAAGCCGTCAAAATAGACCATTTGTGTGTCAGAATAAAATTAAGAAAGAAAATTAACAATCTAATAATGTCATATATTCTAATCCAGAATTTGAGGAGGATACTTTGCTGCAGAACAAGTATTTTTACCTTCGATACTTGAGGTACATTTAGCTGATAATACTTCTGTACTTTTTTACATACGTGACGTTTTAAATGCATGACTTTGACTTCTAATAGAGTATTATGACACGTAATGACACCAGATGCTAAATAAAACCCAGATAAATCAATGACAGTAGTGATTGTTTTTGTGACATGAACGTAGTATGAAACCATCCTTGTTATGTTTGTGGCAACGACACAAAATACGCTCTTATCCTGATATAAAAACATGTAGGAAGAGGTGGTATTTGACCCGACAACATGAAGGTTGGCGGTTAGTTACAGAAAAAAACAAGCGTCACTATTTCTTCTCTATTCCAAAAATCCATTATATCAGTGTGAAGCATCTGCAGGGTTCTCGCACAATTTTCAGTCTCATCCACCGACATACTTTTTAAAAAATGAGTCAGAGGCCAAGGAGAATTGCATTCTCATGCCCTTGAGGAGAGAGGAGAGAAGAAAGTGAGCTATTTACCAGAGACACTTTCTATCTATACCTTTCCTTCTCTTCTCCCCAAGCTGTAATACGAAACACAGTTTATTTGATGTACCTCGACTCCATTTAATAAATTCTGTGAAGATGTTTTGAGGCTGGACTCACTCAGATGTGTTTTTATTAAAGCGGCCTGTTATACATGTTGGGGGTTTCTCTAGTAGTGTGTTATATAGGTTTTGGTGCATGTTAATGGTCTGTAAAGGCTTTCTCGAGTTGGACTCCTTTGTCTACTTTCCGATCATAGTGACATCAATACGTAACACTCACGCTTCATTTGGCTAGCACTCCAACACATTGTACGTGTACTCTTTAAAGTAGAGACACTACATACTGATATACACCTGAACATCAGCAGGAGAGGACTCTTTAAAGTAGAGACAGTACATACTGATATACACCTGAACATCAGCAGGAGAGGACTCTTTAAAGTAGAGACACTACATACTGATATACACCTGAACATCAGCAGGAGAGGACTCTTTAAACTAGAGACATGACATACTGATATACACCTGAACATCAGCAGGAGAGGACTCTTTAAAGTAGAGACACTACATACTGATATACACCTGAACATCAGCAGGAGAGGACTCTTTAAAGTAGAGACACTACATACTGATATACACCTGAACATCAGCAGGAGAGGACTCTTTAAAGTAGAGACACTACATACTGATATACACCTGAACATCAGCAGGAGAGGACTCTTTAAAGTAGAGACACTACATACTGATATACACCTGAACATCAGCAGGAGAGGACTCTTTAAAGTAGAGACACTACATACTGATATACACCTGAACATCAGCAGGAGAGGACTCTTTAAAGTAGAGACACTACATACTGATATACACCTGAACATCAGCAGGAGAGGACTCTTTAAAGTAGAGACACTACATACTGATATACACCTGAACATCAGCAGGAGAGGACTCTTTAAAGTAGAGACACTACATACTGATATACACCTGAACATCAGCAGGAGAGGACTCTTTAAAGTAGAGACACTACATACTGATATACACCTGAACATCAGCAGAACATGTCCTCTTTAAAGTCATTGAGAATGCTTTTGTAATATGATCTATACAGACACTGTAAGTCAATTTACTGGAACACTAATTAGTTGAATCTTACACAGAAGCAGACCAAACGTATCACAAGACATGTAGGGATAATTGTTGTGTCGTAATCTAATTTTTCCCAATGATCTAAAAGCAGCTCTTCTGCTTTGTGTTTAACACCAGCGAACATTACACGCTCTTAATTAAAACAACACTAGTTACCCAAGTTTATGCAATTACACTGACAGCAGCGAACTCTTTTATCAGGCCTTTGTTGCTCAGAGTTATCAGACAGGAAGCTCCACACTGGTTTATTTCCTCTTCTGAATGACAGCCATGTAATGCAGTGTTTACAAACAGCCACCTCCATGCCACAGTAATTATGTTTTCTTAGGAGGAGGCGGTGACATTTGGTACACACTGCTTTTGGAACAGCGTTAATATAAAAGGTCCATTATCTCTTCTAAAGCCTTCGAACAATCCGGGTGTTTATTGGATGCTGCAGTATGCTAATGAGTACTCTTTAAAGCATCCTCTGCACACAAATAAAATCAGATGTTTTTAATAATGATGTCTGTAGCCGCGGACATGCACTACTTTTTATACTTAATCTGAACTCCTGTAGTTACAGATCAGGTTATATTTGATTAGGGGAACATATGTATTATTATGGTTGTGTCCAGAGGTGGGAAGTAGTGGAGTACAAATACTTCGTTACTAATTACATTTTTCTGGTATCAGTACTTTACTCCACTACTTTTTTTTCAGACGACTTTTTACTTTGACTTCTTACATTTTGAACACAAATACCTGTACTTTCTACTTCTTACATTTTGAACACAAATACCTGTACTTTCTACTTCTTACATGTTGAACACAAATACCTGTACTTTCTACTTCTTACATTTTGAACACAAATACCTGTACTTTCTACTTCTTACATGTTGAACACAAATACCTGTACTTTCTACTTCTTACATGTTGAACACAAATACCTGTACTTTCTACTTCTTACATGTTGAACACAAATACCTGTACTTTCTACTTCTTACATGTTGAACTCAAATACGTGTACTTTCTACTTCTTACATGTTGAACACAAATACCTGTACTTTCTACTTCTTACATGTTGAACACAAATACCTGTACTTTCTACTTCTTACATGTTGAACTCAAATACCTGTACTTTCTACTTCTTACATTTTGAACCCAAATACCTGTACTTTCTACTTCTTACATGTTGAACCCAAATACCTGTACTTTCTACTTCTCACATTTCCCAAACAGGCTGGTTCCTTTAGTTTGAATGTGTGTTTGGTGGCGTGATCATTATTATTTAGAGTCATTGCGTGCCTATTGATTTGAACACGATCCGTGTATCCATCATTTCCTGGTCTCCTCTAAAGAAGAGGGACCAATGAAAACGTTGTCATGTTATGTGGTTCAAAACCTGGTCGGAGCTCATTTGTTATCCCAGTTTTGATTAGAAATGATACTTAGCATAATGTTATTATTTTATGGTGGGGATTATATGCTTTTAACAGATACTGCTATTCAAGCCAAGGAAGGAAAGGAGTGAGAGCGATACAACACATAGGGATGTTTGAGTTAGCGGCCCTCTCTTAATTAAAAATAAATTGGGTCTACAACTGACCATTTTGGCATTTCTAATTGGCCCGTAGCAAATTCTAAAAGTACAATAGAACATGGCCCACACATGAAACCTGTGCTTGTCTTATATTGTACTTCTTAAATATATCAAAAAATAGGTTACATGTGTTAATAAGCCCCCTTTTCAAATACATTCAGTCAATTAAAGTTGAAAACATTTCTAACGAATCTCAGTTGATTAAAAAAATAACTTACTTCCATAACAAGCTTGAAATAATATACCCTTCATATTTCCCCTTATAATAAACATTCTGCTTTAAGGAATGTGCTGCAAACTAAATAAATGAGACCCTCTGGAGATCTTAACTTAATTTATGAGTCAACACACCTCACCTTGTTTATCTGTATGTGGCCCTCAGTGAACAAAGTTTGGACGCCCCCAATTTGTTGTATATATAAAGCCAACTTTATTGCAGCAGACTGGAGGTCACCTCATGTTTCATAATGCTGAAGGTTTTGTGTTACCTCTGCCAAGGATATCATGTCTTTCTGCTCGGTTTGTTTGTCTCTGTCTGACAGCAAGATTACATTAAAAAAATACTGATCCCATTAACATGAAACTTGGAAAAAAGGTCAAGGAATAACCCGTTCCATTTTTTATCCATTTTACAATGCAGATTTCATTTAACATTGAGAAGAACATCCATAAACATTCATCTGTTTGCATTTTGCAAATTAGTTATCTATATATCATATCCCATTTACTTAAGCAATAGCTCACGACAGGCCGTGGTATATGGTAATTCATTTATATCACAGCTAAGGGGCGTGGTTCGGCCCGACGCAAAGCTATTGCTTTTATAAAACGGTTACCAAGTGTGGCAATATGAAAGAAAAATACACACTCTAATTTAAATAGTTTTTATTAGTAAATAATGATGTTCAAAATAAAATAGTCCCTCCGTTGCCTTCTGCACAAAACATAGTGCGAGGTGGTTGCTATGCAACAACACTAACAGCTAGCGAACATATTAGACAGAGAGCGTTGATCCATTATTTGGCTATTTATTTACATTAATGTGTATGTTGCCGTTTATCATCAGTAGATGCTTACGTGGTTACTTGTATAGGCTGAGGTTGTTCTAGGCTGTTGCTTAGCGTGGCGAGAATATTGCTCCACTTTCTCCGGTCCCCGAGATTCGGCTTCCAGTAGCTCTGGAGAGAGCTTTCGCACCTGACTTGTGAAAAGTAACTACAATTCTACCCGTGATATACGCTCATTATATCACGGCTAAGAACCAATCAGATTGCTTGAATTGACTTGTCCGTTTTATAATTGAATATAGACTCTACTTGCACTATTTCTATGTTATTTGTATTTCCTTGCACATCTCAAAACAATCTCTTGCACAATTTTATCTGTTTTATGTCCTATATATATTCATGTTGCTCTGTTGGAGGAGCCTGTGACTTAAGTTTTCTATTTCCATATCTACACTGTACAGTAGCTACTTTGCACATGACAATAAAGCCTTGAATCTTGACATCTTGAATCAAGATTTAATAACACAATCTCTTTGTAGCATTGATAAAAACGACTCAAGCTCATAAACTCATTGAAGCTAAAGGAACAAATTCCCAACCTCTCCAAGAGCCATTTTGGTGATGAATTGTTACCATGATGGTCCCTTAACCTTTACCAAGTGTTGTAAATGTCTTCCTCTCATGATCTCTTATCCATAAATCACCATACCAAACTTTAATTAACACATTTAACTACTGCAGGAGCTAGAATTACAAAAATCGTTGGCATTTGGCACAATTTTAACTGCTGCTAAATTCTTAATATTCACGTTTTTACCGGACAAACGTGTTAAATTAAGATCACTAAACAGTGTGCTAGTGGTGTGAAGTGACAGACATGGACTTCCAAACGCATTTCTCCCTATAACCCTGTGTATGCCTTGTCCACATGATGTTCTTTAAGCAGGGGACTATGTAAATGAGTTTCTAAAAATGTTTGTGAACACCCTTAAACTCACATTTAGAGCTCAAACCAGCACTTTAACATCTAGCAAATATGTTTAAGAAGAGATCGAATGGATACAATGAGTCTAAATGCTTTAACTCCCACTGCATGTTGCCCTTTAAAGAGCACTGACGACAGCACGAGTTGAAGAATAATTTGTCTTTCACTTAGCTGTATTTTTCACTGGCACTTTCTTTCACAGTGTGAGATAGAAAAAAAAAAAAACCTTGACTCCATCTTTATTCAGGTCGCTCCGATTTGCATCAACACTTCCCCTCGATCTGTATTCATCTTCCTCTCTCAACAAGCTAGTTTCCTGACTCAATTACAGATTCATTGAGAGTGCCTGTCCATCATGCCTTTATCCGATTATCTTGTTGTCAGCTGCTCACTCACTCACATCATTATATCACACAGGGAAGCCTATGGAATTACACTGCCATCTATCACAGGCTGTTGCACGCTCACACACTCTGAGTGACAACCCGCCGGTACACACTCATGTTTGACCTGTGCAGACAACCCAGTCTCACGGCATTTCGTGTTATAGTCACGACATGTAATCTATTGATTCGTGTTCACCAACGCGATTTTCCATTTTTTTTCCGTGTCACAAAGAACGATTTTAAAAGCAATGTAAATAATAACAAATTAGAAGGAAATAAAGATTTTTAAAAATACAGATTTCAGTATTCTGACAGAACGATTTTAGAAGCAATGTATTTCTATTGGTAGTATGTTTTCGTGCCTGCACCACATAATAACAAATTACAATGAAAATATTACAGAAATACAGATGTCAGTATTCAGAGGCTCTGAGCTCCATTTCTTTTCCTCACGGACGGCAAGAAAAGTCCGACATTATACAATTTAAAATAAAAACAATAATCTTTGCTTGATATTGAGTAAGAAAATGTTTTTATGAACCACACAGCTTCCGCTCTTCCAAGACCCGATCGGAAAAAAAGACGTGGTGCTGGCACGAAACATACCAATAGAAATACATTGCTTTTAAAATCGTTCTGTGTGACACGCAAAAAAGGGGGAAATCGTGTTGGTGAACATGAATCAATAGATTAAATTAATTTCGCGACTATAACACAAAATGCCGTGAGACTGGGTTGCATCACTGCACCACTATTAGCACTAAATGTGATTCACTTTTTATAAAACATCTCACACACTCATGTTTGACCTGTGCAGAATACAGTATCTCTGCAGGGGGATGGATGTGAGACAGTTATCTGCCAATTAACGTGCACACATAGGGCATGCTCTGCAGAAATATGCAGAAGGACAGAGAAGGAGAGACAGCAGGAGCTCTGAGCTAACCTTTGGGTTATAATGGGCTATGAATATGTGTTTGCACATAATGAGATTTACAAATTGTAGCAAATACCCAGTCTGGGATTCGGTTCAAGATGTTACCTCGACATGTTCCATCGGCCTTCACTTGATTAGCAAAATGTCTCCTTGGGCATTTTGACTGCCTACACACCAACTGGGCTTATTACCAATTACTGCAATATTCTGTTTACTCCAGGACAGCAGACTTTAATTTAGATAATAATCGTCAAGGTAAGTTGGAGAAACTTCGGAGCAACTTTTAGTTCAAATGGAAGGTTGGACAACTTCCGATTTGGGATGAAATTAGATGTCACTGCAGCTAATTCACCCGCCAACATAATCATGATAAAAAATCCATGTGTCACATTTATGCATGGCTGGAAAATCCATCTAAGAGTTTGGAGAAAATGTCCAATTACTGTCCATGAACTCTGAGTGTGGGTGTGTGTGTGTGTGTGTGTGTGTGTTTATAACATCTGCTGTTGTTGTTTAAAATGTCATTTTGTGCTTCCCCTTTGCAGACATGTACCATCTCACCTGACCTTGACCATACTGTCATTGATACAACATTTCAAAACTCTTAACATTTGATGTGTTGTTGAATAGTTAAATATTGACGTTGCTGTCTGGAAAAAGGATTACAAATAAGCTCGTTAAACAGAAACACAGACAACATGTAAAACCTTAATCCTTAAATGTACACCTGGAATGTCAGAAGTACTTTCCTACTGCACACTGTGACATCTGGACCAAATATTTTACTGTGTTTGGTGTTAGTTTGGATTCATGGTCCAACATAATGTTTTTTGGGGGGCAAGTTCTCCCCCTGACCCATTGAAGAGCACATGTTCACTTATATATATATATATATATATATATTATACTTTTCGGGGTGTTCCATTTACTTAAGTGTGTTATGTAGTTTGTTGTGGATGTCAATGGTTTGCAAAGGCTTAAATCCCAAAGTGTGATTTGTACGTAATAGGCTAAGAGGAGGGGCCTCTCTAAGTGGTTGACCAATCACAACAGAGCCGGCCAGCTAACCAATCAGAGCAGACTGGGCTCTGGTTTCAGACAGAGGGTGAAAAGAGGTGCTGCAGCACAGGCAGTATGAGAGAAAGAAAGAGCTTTTTGAACATTAAAGCACCTAAAACCTGAATTTGAGCATAATATGTCTTCTTAAATATAGTTCTTGAGTGATTCAACTACTCCTCGTTGGCTATGATCATTGACCCAGAAAGGAGATGCCAACATATTGAAAGTACCGAGAGAAATCCTACCCATTATGCTTCTCTATTTATAAGTATGTTTGTGTTGTTTTGCTCTCACTTGTTGCGGCAGTACAGCGCCATGCACAGCGTTCCAAGCAGGCTGATTGCCATGGCGATGGATGTGATTGACAGCACCTGTCTCTTGTACACCTCTTTGCTCTCTGCAGGGACACAAAACAGAGAAGGGAGTCACATTAATGTTTGAACAACACAATAAAATCATACATCATGAACAAATCTGCCAGCATGTGAGGCACAGAGAAAGGAAAGGAGTGTATACATATCTGCATGCAGAGATCCCACAGTCAATATTCACAGGGACCGAGTTATTACTAAATTAACGCTAAGCAGTAATCTCACCACCACACAGAATTAAACACACTTTCGAGGGTTGTATTTACCCACTTTTAATTTCTAACATGGTTGTTTACAGCGCCCAAACAGCCATTTCAAATCATCAAACAACCAGTTGCGGTGCAACAGCTCTCAGGGGCTTCTTCTATCTGCCTTACAGATTCTTTCCCGTGTAAATGTAATTACTTTTGTGATAACTAAAGCAAATTGTAATAAAATAACACATTTACAATACACAAACACCTATTTGCAATTCTCCAGCAACACCTGCTATTCTTAGTTACCACACAGAGCATTTTATCAGCCCAACAACATCCAGTAATGCTCCAATAGTGCTTTAGAAATGGATGCCACATGTAATGGAGCTTGTACACATGGAGACAGGAAGAGTTATGGCGCGGACGGACGCCATTAGTGGAGAAAAATGGAAGCTGTCTTGTTTGCTGCGAACAAGTAAATCATAGTTGCCTTCAGATACATTAATAGGCGATCAATCAAGTTTTATTTAGTGCGGCTCAGACCTTGGAGAAGCAGGGAAACGACACGAGGTGTTGCGGTTTTACATCGAGGTGATTGAGACAAATTTTAACTGCACACAGGTTTCAACGGCCACCTCAGTAGGGAACAGATAAAGTTCTTTACAGCTGCTTTCCTGCTGCGTAAACTCAGGAAATCACTGTGCCGAGCTGCAGGAAACCTCCTCAACAGAAACACACTGCCTCTTGCTCAAGGGCACGCTGACAGCAGAGCGTTACTAATTCACAACCACATCAAGATTTAAAGGCCTGTATGGGAATTCAGACCCGAGAGCTTACTGCTGCAGCCTTTGAGCCACTGATGCCCACTCAGATATTACATAACCTCATACATGCAGTAAGTCATACAAAGTGGAAGTACTCTGTATACTTAAGTAAAAGTAGCACTATCAAATTCAATTAAAAGTCCTGCATCCAAATCTTGTTTAAAGGTCACCTATTATACAAAATCCACTGTTCCATGTCTTTTCTACTTAAATATTTGTCGCCTGTGTGTTAAGAGACTCTGGAAGGTTCAGGAACACAGATAACATATAAGTAAAAGTATTCAGATTCTAATCCTACTTTTATATTTCTATGGACAATCTTGCACTAATGCACATTCTCAAATATTGACGTGACTGTTATTTTGTATATATTGATTGTTGTTCTTTTATTTAGGTCTTAAAGGTCACCTATCATGCTATTTGTAGGCAATAGCATAGATCTCAGATATATACAAATATATAAAAAACATGTCTATGAAGTGTTTTGCTCTAAATACCAAACAGATCACCCATTCTAGCCATGCCTCATATCGCTCTATTCCACTTCCTGTTTCAAAAGTGCTGATTTTATGTATAAAGCTTTAAAAAAAAAATAGAATTGATAATAAAAAAGGAGGGGTCTGAGTTCATGCGGGACCCGGCAGCTACTGTCTAAACTAAATACTGCGGTGATGAAACGCCATATCATGGATTATCAAGGATTATTTCTGAAACAGTATGGAGCTCAAAGGCTTTCTCTCTTGCCGGTTATACCACAAGGTGAGTTCCTTTTTATTTCCTGCTTCTTCACACACATGCTCTCCAGTACAGGTTAGCTCTGAGTGTTAGCGATGCTAATGTAAACACCGACCATATTACGTCCAAAACAGTCGGGCATTGTTTCTGATAGCAACGTTTCTGATAGTGCCGTGGGTCCCTATTTCCGATATTACGTCATATCGGACGCAAATCTGGATCAGCTCCGTTGTAGCCCCGTTTTTAGAGATTTGGGTACGGAGGAAAAGAGAGAGGGTTTTATTTTCTGACGCTGCGTGAGTTCCCCGACACACCGGGGACACATGTTTATGTATAAAAGACAGCAAAAAGTGCATTTTGCATGATAGGTCCCCTTTAATGTGTGCACATGTAAACGTTTGTCTGTTTTAACGAGACATTTAAGAAGACATTTCCCAACTTCGGATCAATAAAGTATTTCTCATCTTATCTTAAAAGTAGAAATACTATGCTCCATTCAAGTAAAAGTCCTCTCCCTCCATCGAAGTCCAAGTTATTTTTGGGGCCAGTGTTGTTTTGATGTTGCTAATCAGCCTGAGTCATCACATTGGCTTATTAGCTGTAATTATTTCATTAGAGGGAATAGGGGCCGTCCATCGGGAGCTCACTGAGGTCGATCGCAGGGTAAACATTATACAACATCTTCCACAGGATTATTGTCGAGTAAACTGACCTTTTTGTGTTCCCTTAAACCTAGCAGAGACATCACTTTCTGCATGCTTTCTGCCATGCTTAATAACGTTATGTTGTGACAATTTCCACCTGATAGTGACAGAGAAACAGCGCTTGGTGTGGATTAGTCATGTCTGGCTGACATACCATTTGTCTGATAAGAGTATCAGAGCTGGTGATGATTCAGAGTATCAGAGGAGACGGTCCTCACAAGAGAAACGACGGGAGCAGCTGTTTCAGAAAACACCAGAAAGCTATATATCTTCTATCAGAAAGGCCTCTTTTACACGGAGAGATTTAGCTTCCTCCCACAAACAATTAATGCACATTTTATCCACTACTTAAATAGTTTTCTATATGCAAACCATGATCGTTCCGTAACAAGTCAGTTTTGAGGCAAAAACTTCCAGACCTTCCTTTATGTGAGCAGTGGTGGAAAGTAAGTATGGTTAGGCTAAAGGGGCGGGACATCTTTAAGAGGTTGACCAATCACAACAGAGCCGTCCAGCTAACCAATCAGCGCAGACTGGGCTCAGGTTCCAGACAGAGGGTGAAAAGAGATGCTGCAGCACAGGCAGTATGAGAAGAATAAAGAGCTTTTTGAACATTAAAGCATGGAGACATGTCAGAAAATATAATTATGAACCTGAAAATTAGCAGAATATTTTCCCTTTAAGTTACATTAACTTGAGTATTACCATTTTACGCTACTTCATAATTCAAATTCACTGCATTTTACTTATTTGCAAACAATAGTTACTAGTTACTTTTGCAGGTTTATATTTTTAATGCAACAATTATATCAATCAATATATTATGATGTACTTTATGGATTGAGATCCATATTCTGATGATAAAAGTCTTTCAACTTATCTCCAAAATTTAAATCCTGAGGACGTTAATGCAACACTTATATATTATTCTGAAAACGGCCACTTTGGATAATGACTATTTTAAGATGTTTACTAAATGATAATTTGCTGCTAACAATTTTGTACCTTGACTTAAGTCACATTATGAATGCAGAGGCTTTGACTTGTGTATTTCTACACTGTGGTATTAATACTTTTACTGAAGTAGAATATTTGCGTACTTCTTCCAGCGCTGTGTGTGAGCAGTGAGGAGATGGGAGAAAGGTTTAGAGCTGAGAATAAGTCATACAACGTTTTTATCCTAAGTGCAATTTTCATTTGTGCCAGAAAAACTTTGAAAAACATGTTTTTGTAAAGTTTGCTGAAGTGGAAAAGATGCTTCTTTGACACTGTGAGGTGAAGGAGAGAGATTACAAAAAGACAAGATGAGGCGGAGAATGGAACGAAACAGCTTTGGTTCACTTCATCTGGCCTCTTCTGCAGAGTGCATGTGAATCACGTGTGGGCTTTTCTAAGGTTTGTACACACACAAAGGAGTTTAAAGACCCAGTTTATCACCTGCAATCAGACGTGATTTGAATACAGCGTGCACGGTGTGAGGCCAATTGTACATTTGTTGCCAAGGTCAAGCAGTACTTAAGCGTGCCGCCCACGTTCTGTTTGGACGCTCTACTGTATTCACAAACACACTCTCCTGATGTGAATAAATCATACGGCTGCAGAGAGGAAAAACATGCTCCTGCTCCATGTGCTGAGAGGTCACATCTTCTATTCATTTCCTCTGAAGACTCCTCTCCTGCCCTGCTGGTCGCTCACAGAGGTCTGAAGTAGTGGAGTACAAAAACGTTCTAACTGTACTTAAGTACATTTTTCTGGTATCAGTACTTTACTCCACTACTTATTTTTCTGGCGACTTTTTACTTTGACTTCTTACATTTTGAACACAAATACCTGTACTTTCTACTTCTTACATGTTGAACCTAAATACCTGTACTTTCTACTTCTTACATTTTGAACACAAATACCTGTACTTTCTACTTCTTACATGTTGAACACAAATACCTGTACTTTCTACTTCTTACATGTTGAACACAAATACCTGTACTTTCTACTTCTTACATGTTGAACCTAAATACCTGTACTTTCTACTTCTTACATTTTGAACTCAAATACCTGTACTTTCTACTTCTTACATGTTGAACACAAATACCTGTACTTTCTACTTCTTACATGTTGAACACAAATACCTGTACTTTCTACTTCTTACATGTTGAACCCAAATACCTGTACTTTCTACTTCTTACATTTTGAACTCAAATACCTGTACTTTCTACTTCTTACATGTTGAACACAAATACCTGTACTTTCTACTTCTTACATGTTGAACACAAATACCTGTACTTTCTACTTCTTACATTTTGAACACAAATACCTGTACTTTCTACTTCTCACATTTCCCAAACAGGCTGGTTCCTTTAGTTTGAATGTGTGTTTGGTGGCGTGATCATTATTATTTAGAGTCATTGCGTGCCTATTGATTTGAACACGATCCGTGTATCCATCATTTCCTGGTCTTCTCTAAAGAAGAGGGACCAATGAAAACGTTGTCATGTTGCCGTTGTTCAGCATGGAAACATTCATTAGCTAACAATGACATTATTGTTCTATTAATATAAAGGGAGGTCAG